TTATGAACGCATATAACTGCAGAACCTGTTCAGGAAGGAGAAAGTTATTGAAAGGAATATTTTCTGTTCCCTACGAGTAATCAGTCTTTTATGCTGTTACATGGTTGGAGGCAATCTCCAGAAACCCTTGTCGGGTCCTAGGTTTCATGCCTGTTGGCTGGCATTCACAAATCAACAAAGCATATCTATGATCTTGAAGGAACAACTCATATCCCTTCGGAGATTCGAACCCAGATCATCCAGTGCTATCTGAAAGCAGAGATATTGTCACTGAGCTATTGCTTGAGCTATTGATTGGACATTATGTAGTGAGTACCCAGTGTCATGAGCCTAGTGATTTCTACTAATGTCGTATCTGACTGCAGGTAGCACTGGGTGACTTGGGTTTAAATCTGAGAAAGGATATATTCCAAGGCAAAATATATAGACAAACTGAAGGTGTAGCAATGCGATGGATCACCAATATCCCCTATCGTAGCAGATATATTTATGGATAGCTGGGAAAATATGGCTCTTAATACGTTTAATCCTACTCCAAAAATATGGTGGAGATATCTAGATGACACTTTCACACACAGTGTTAAAAACAGAACACATCTCTAGCTTCTTGACACACACAAACTCACTAGTGGAGGGAATAAAATTCACATTTGAATGGGAAAATAAACAAGGAGAATTAGCTATGCAAGATTGTAAAATAAAACGAATAGAAGAAGGTAAACTAACTGCACAGTAGTGTTTATAAAAAGCCAACGCATTCTGCTAATAGATATTTAGACTTTAATTCATCTCATCCATCGTTATCTGTAAAGGCAGGCTTAGTTAAGTGTCTAACAAACCGAGCAATAGCACTAAGTAGTACAAGAAAAGACCTAAATGATGAAATAAAACAGATAGAAGAGGCGTTGGTGTTAAATAACTATCCTTTAAAATTCATTAGGAAGATTGAAAAAGGCCAAAAGAAAAAATAAAAAGAATTGTGAAACTAGTAATAATAACATAAATAAGAGAGAATATAAGTCATCTACAGTTATACCATATAAAGAGGGGACGTCTGAGACCCTACGTAGGATTCTAAATAAAGCAGGAATTAGAGTGGTGGCATTTAAACCTACAAACTCACTCAGGGACAAGCTCTGTAGGTTAAAGGACCCAGTGGACCCAATTAGACAAAATAATATAATTTACAAAATACCCTGCAATGACTGTGAGGTCAACTACATAGGTCAGACTAGTAGGTCAGGGGTAGCCAGATTGTCAGAACATAAGAATTTAGCTAAGGGAAGAATGGTTGACTCTGAAAAGATAAGTAATTTAGGAAAAAGCTCAGCAATCGCACTTCACGCATTAACACACAACCATACAATAGGTTGGGAGAGGGCTAAAATTCTAAAGAGCAACACAGGTATGAATTGGGTCCCAGTGGCTGAATGGCATACGAGCCAGCCTGGGTTCGAACCCCAATGAGTGCGCACTGTCGATGATTCCCAAACTAGTCTGACGAAACAGCTGACCAGTACTCCCAGTTGGTTTCCAATGGTTCTTCTTTACCTGATATCAATCCGTGGTCGAACTCGAAAAATAAATCAAAGCCTGACAGACTTCAGTCTACCCGGAAACACTAAGAAATAAACGCATGAAATTAGTTACTTGTTACCTTCTGGCCAATCAAAGGTAATCCGTCTTTTCAAATCAGTAATGAAACACCATTTAATCAATACAATATTATATCTTAGTTAATTCTGATTGGCTAACACAAACATCCTAAGTCAAGGTCATTCAATATCTAGGCGCTTAATTCAATTTTACATTATTTTGGCGAAGAGTTAAACAATACACTAACAGCTCATATGGTTTCACATGATGCTCAAATTTTTGTTGTAAGTCTAACTAACTAACTAGAAAGTTATTAGAAGCAGGGAATTATGCGTGTGTGTGTGTGTGTGTAAGTAGCGGAATACATTATGCCGAGAGAGAAGGAGAAAACTCACACGCACACATCATCAATGTTCAATGTCGTTCAATGTTTAATTTTTTTCGCATGTGTATGCATTGTTTAAGTGGTACTTTTTCTTATTATTATTTATTCACTTATTTGTCGTATGTTTTCCGGGGAGAGAAGAACACATAAGTGACTGATAATAATAATAATAATAATAATAATAACAATATTATTATTAATTTTTAATTACACGTTACGTTATTCTTCAAAAGTGTCAGTTTGAAAAGGATGAAAAAAAAACACGCATGCCTAATTGTTGTTTTTGTTGTTGTTGTTGTTGGGCTTTTGTCTAACATGTTTTATTTAACCAAGGTTTTGTTGTTAGATAGTTTTTGCATGTGATGAGTGTCATGTTATTTTGTCTAGCGTGCAGTTTAGTCTATTAAGCCAGCAGACAGGAAGTTAAACGAAAACTCGAACATATACTATTGTCCTACAATCTATCGATTGACTTTAATTCTGGGACTATTCACACTAAAAAATGAGTCGAATCCTATTGTTTGTGGTCTATGCGACTATTAGATGTTTGATTCCTAGCGGTGATATCCGTTAAAGAAGAATTGGAAACCAGTAGGAAGTACTGGCGATTCATTTTAGTCCGCTCTGCGGGTCCCAAGCCAGGGTAAAGAGGGAGGACTGGGAGTGGGGGCTAGCCACTCTTCACCAGAAAAGGCCATCAAACTGCTAATGAAACTTCAACGTACAAGAAATATGTTAAAAATACGAAAAATTCAAATAACAATCTTATTCTTCACTGGAATCGCGAGGGAAGTGGGGTGAAATGACACAGTGGGCTGGTGAAAGCCGGTTTTCGGGAAGCACTGAAAATGGACCCAGAGACTACGGTAGATGTTCTCATGCCATTATTCCGAAAGGTTTGGAAGGAAGGAGAGGTATCTGCCTATTGGAAGAAAGGCTACCTCGTCAAGCTGCCATGAAAAAGCGACTTAAGCCTCACTCTGCATGAACTGGCGTGGAATAATGCTCTTGTCCACGCCAAGCAAAATACTAAGTTAGATCATTCAGGAGAGAATAAAAGATGCACTGGATGCAGAACTCTGTCGAACGGGAACAAGCTCGATTCAGGAAAGGCAAATCATGCGTGGATGACACCGCAATTCTACACATCATTCATCATCATCATCGAACAATGCATGGAATGCCAGTAACACTTCTACCTCAATTTCATCGACTTCGAAAAGGCCTTCGACAGACAGCGTTGACCAAGAAGTAATTTAGGAACTACTTGAACACTATGGCGTGCAGTGGTCAAGTATTTATCAACCTCATTCAACATCTGGTTATATGACAATGCCTACCGTGTGTCAGGTGATCCACAACGGTAAACTCAGCCAGGCGTCTGAGGTGAATACAGGAGTAAGACAAGCTGGCTGTCTGCCTATTATTGCCAACGATGATTTTCTTAATTGTGGTGGAATGGCTGTGGGGAGCGAGGAGTTAGGAATACGCTGGAAGACCGATAAGTAGACTCTAGAAGACCTGGATTTCGAAGATGATATATATCTAATGTCACAAAAACTCGAAGACTTTCAGGAACCCAAGGGAATAATAATAATATAATATAATAATATGCACCCACCGAGGTCTACACCCAGGACATCTTGGTTGCAGAATGAGCTCACAGGCGACTTAGCCGCTGGCTGTTTGCAGGAAGTTACTTGGAGTTATAGTCAAATGTCTAAACCAGCGTGGTCCCCCAAGTTATGTAAGAGGATGGTTACCCATCGACGACAATGGCTGGCGTTTGCGCTTTATACAAATCACAAAGTTGGCAGAAATTTGAATTCACGGGCCATTGAATTAGGTCACAGTGACTAAATAGTCCACTAGAAGGCCTTGTAACCAGAAGTCCTCAGGTTTGAACGATGGTGGGGCAGTTACTGATGAAGAGTCTTTAACTAGGACGAAATGGCTGTCTAGTACTTCTTGAAATCAATCAATTCTCTGCTGACACTTGCGCTTCAAAATATTCTAACCTAATTCGTTCTAAATTTGTCAAACGACTTATGACTACTTCAAAATATTCAGTAGTATGTAACCCATTCCCGGGATTAATTCACATAGTCACACTGAATTTTTTGAATGTGCCAAGATGAAAACAGTGGGGGGGGGGGCGGGCGGCTAAATGTGAATCAGTTTCGAGTTTGCCCATAGATCGATATCAACTAGAGGACCACTGAAAACCTCCAGGAAGTAAGAGACAGTTGTTTCATCCGGTTTTGTGACTCATTATCAGTACTCAAGCGTAACCTTACCGCTGGGCATCGAACCGAGGAGTTTGGAGGTTTGGAGATGAACTCGTTGACAACTATTCAGCCACTGTAGTGGAATCCAGTGGCTAGCCTACGAATTCTAGCTTCTATCAGTTCACGATTTCAGCACAACCACCAGTTAATGTCGTCGACTTGGTCGACCCCACTGGTCACTACTTCCCACTAGAACTCTAGACACCGTGCTGATCTAACTGCCATCAATCCGTGAACAAATTTGAAACAGATAGAATCCCTACAAACCAAGTAACTGGTTGTTGGACGAAGTTCCCTTTAGTTCTAGTGCTAAGTCGTGACTACTTGGGTCCATCAGGTCATGTGTGAGGACAAATAATTACCGATGACGTTAACTGGAGGTCGCGGTGAAGTCGCGAAATAAAGGATTATTGGTTTTGTTCCTCTCTTTGATAAAGAACTTACTAACATCTTAGCTGTTATTGGTTGGCTCTGGGCTCCAGGAGGAGGGTTTCAGCCTCTTTGGGACTCTTCAACGAGGTGACGAACTAGCTGACGAAACTCACAGGACGTGGTTCCATTGCCAGTTACCATCATTCAAGTAACATGATAGTTGTCTCAATGCATCGTCGAGGAGTCTCTGCTAGGAACTGACATGTTAGCAGCAGGAGAGTATTTTCACTACGATATATAATCAATCAAGGTGAAATGCAAAAAATAGAGAATAACAAAACAAAAATTTAAGAATTTACCGATTTCTTTCGTAGTGAATGAAAATGTTTCACTTGGTAATGACGTGTCCCCATCTTGACCAACACATCTTGCCCATACAGTGTACTCAGTATACGGTTTCAATTGAGTCAGTGAGATAATTAAAACATTATGTAGAAGATTGGATCCAGCCGGTTGACTTGACAGTAGACTTTGTTGATTCGCGTCAGCATCACGAATACTTGAGGCTTGGTGATAACTTCCCACGAGTGAAGGGCCAGTTAGATTTTTCAGTGATTTTGGTAAAATTATAAGATTTAACTGTAATTGAAAAAAAACACACAATTATTTTGGGAAAAAACAGTTATACTACTATTATTGTTACTACTAATTTATTATTATTCCCTTGGGTTCTCAAGTGGAATATGGGGTTTCAACAGTAGATCACCATTCCACATTGTTCTCTGTGATCTTTTTCAGATAAACCCCATGATTATGCATAGGCCTCCATCTTCTTACCACACGATCCCTTCCATGTCACAGCTCAGATGCAATTCCAGCTGTTCGTTTCTCATTAGGGTCCCACTAGTCGGTATAACTGGCATGCGATCCCATTCAATAGTTTCCTCAGTGTATGTCTAATTTAACTCTTTTATCTTCTGCATATTCGCTACGTAATAAGTCCTTGGTTGATTCGTTGCTCTCCAGATTGCCCTGTTTCCAATCTTTACTACCTGGGCATCTGGTCTACAGTATGGAGCCTGGGAAGGTAGCTGTTGATGAAAGTCTGAATGTGACGCTTTCGTCAAGTTTCTGACTCGTATAGAAGCAGTTACTTAACAATGATGTTGAAAATTCGAAAATTTTACACTTTGTGCAAGAAGTTCCACGAAGTTACGTGGAGTTCTAGTAAGTAGCTGTTAGCAGCAGGCTCCGCAAAGTCAAGCAAGGGGAGAGTTACTTGTTAATGACGCTGACTGGAGAACTGTCAGAAGTTGGAATTGATAGGTCGTCGGAGTGGCTGCCATTGGCTCAATGATGAACGAGCTCACCTTGTAATGGGAGCGTCTTGGGTTCGAACCCCAGTGGGTGCATACTGCTGCCATTGAAAGTGGAAGACATGAAAAGGCTAGCTAGTTGTCTTTGATCATAGGTGTCTGAGTTCTATCTCCCGTGTGATGTGGTATAGTAGGGTAAGCAATACTGAGGTTAGGCATCGGTTGAGGGCTAGGTAAGAAGGGGAAATCAATAGACGAGGCTGTGAAGTTACATCGACTGAGATGGTTAGGGCATGTGTTACGCATGCCTTACCATCGCCTCCCTCGACCAAGGGGAATATTAGCTGACATAGGGTCATGCTGGAAAAGAGCTAGCTATTAGTGGTCAAACCAAAACATGGCGACAGTTAGTTTAAGCCACGTAGGAAGGTGTAGACTTCCTAACCAGTTGGGGTCCTCGGGACGGTAAAAACCAATGAATGCTGGAGACAATTAGTGATATGCCTCAAAATTGTTGTCAATAGCTGGAGTAGATGCATTCACTCCTTGTGACTTATAATTTCCAATGAAACCATATTGTTCTTCGATATTATCATTCGTGTTGCCTAATATCTCTGCTTGCTGTGTCTATTTCGCATTTCTTTTTACTTTCTTCCCTTGCTTTGTGTGTTACAAAGAGGAAGTGTGGCGACTTGAACTGCTGCACAATTGTGCAAAGTTCTAGGTTGAAACCAATCAGTCAGTCAGTCACTGTTGAAGAGTCTCAAAATAGGACCAAACAGCTGTGATCAGGTCTCTAACTCATGTCAACTCACGATCGAACCTGAAACCTTAGAGTATGATGCCGTATGTTCCTTTGGGAACGTAAAACAATAAGAAAGACGTCGATAAAGAAAGTTGGAAAGCTGTCTTCAAACGTGTAGAAGCATAGATGTCATACTTTCCATGCTGTTTCATTGCAATAGATCTCTCTAATATTTTCTCTTCTCAATGTATTCCATCACTCTGTGATACTCAAGATTCTTTTGGAAAAAGACAACATATACACAATATACTATTTGGAAATTTTTGATTTCAAGGATGGTTTTCTCTAATGTTAGATAAACTTGAAGATTCATGACTGAAAACCAGAAAATTGGCAGAAGAAGCCGTCAGAGAAGACAGGACTTCAAGTGAGGACATACAGAAGACCGACCGCCAACAACAACTGGGACCAATCACCAATCACTAGGAGAAATTTGAAGGAAGACAAAACTTTCCCTTATCTGACCAGTCAGCATCGCTTCAATTACAGGCGGAATGGATGAAGACGTCAAAGGCAGTCAGTATGGGAAACAATCTGAAAATCTGCTGCACACATCACCACAGTCAGTTCTTCTCTGTAGTTCACAGACTTGACTAACGTGACACTCCAAAAGCATTTCAACAACGACCTTCGCTAGCTCCATACCGAGAATCACATGCTCAAAACAACAAGGGACTCTAGCAGGCAACGAACCTGACCAAGAACCAGTGGAACTAGAGACAGATCGCACATACACCGAGGAGACCACTGAATGACCTTGTCTCGGCTGGAACCCGAATGCGAAACGACCGGTTGGACATCGCTTCGAGGGATGCCATGAAGGAGGTCATGTCAGGAGGATGAGGAGGAGGCGATGACCGCCCATGGATGATCGTATGGCCAAAAAAGTATCAATGTTCCACACACACTGGTCAAAAAATGAATTTTCAAATATTAGGAGACTAAATAAATCAACTAGGCCTTCAACTGTCTCTAAATTCATATCGATTTCTTTCCTTCTTTCTTTACAAAATCTAATTTTTTTCAAAAAATTATAATAATTATTTATTTATTTTAATAATAATAATAGTAATAATGACAATTATCATTGTTATTATTATTATTATTACTATTGTTCCAGTCTATTAAATTATCGATTGAATGTCAAATGAATGAAGTTGATTAATTTTACTTGTCTGTATTCTCCTCTCCCCCCGGCCAACCCTTCCCCTGTTTTCCCTTGAGAACTAAGAAAAATTCCCCTCAACTGTCTAACTGACAAGGGGATATAGTACGCACAAACGACTTACTTACTTACTTAATCTGTTATGCTGAAAACGAAATATTGAGGAGGAAGAAAATAAAAATAACAAAAACTACAACAACTACTACTGATAAATTCACTCCAGTAGTGAGTTTATTCATTTCAAAAATATCTAAAGGAAAGAATCTAAATTGTCGGAAAGATATTCAGATATACAAAATGCCCAGTAGAATAGCTAGTGCTTGAAATGATTGACTATTCCCTTTGCGACAAATACTCAACATCAGCAGGCATAGGCCTACACATTCTGGCGTCTGTTCGCCCATAGTTTTTAAGGCTTTAGACAAATGTTGACAAATATATATATGTAGTCAATTACGGGGAGGCGGTTGAGCTAGGCAATATTATTATTATTATTACTATTACCTCTAAGATATACTACTATCCTGTTACGTCATTTTATCCTTATTTGACAGTCTGAAATGTACTCAAAGTCTAGTCTGTTTGTCTTTAATTTGTTTATTCTACTTTCACTGTCGCCTGTTTTCATTGATTGTAACTCGCTGACTGTAGATGGGGATTTAGGGTGGAGGTTCAGCGTGTTGCAAGGAGGGAGTGGATATTCACTGAAGCCATTGACTGACAGTAGTGGGCCATTTCACCAACTGTCAAAAGCTTGAATTCATAAATTATTGAATTGCGAACAACCTGCTGAGCTCGTTACTTGAGTAGGTCTTGCATCGAATTCCTAGTGAGGTCGCCATCGAGGTTCTCCATCGGGAGGGAAACAGTTATCTAAGCGCTGAGTGGTTTCCAGTGCTTTTCTAACGGTTTATAGGTTTGGGACATAATTTACATTGATAGTATTATTATTATTCCCTAAGGTTCTCAAACAAACTACAGACCTTCATTAACAGTTGTCTTCGCTCAATACTCAATATCAGATGGCCAGAAAAGATCAGCAACAGAGATCTCTGGCAATGAGCGAACCAACACATCAGGAACCGATTGTGAAACAAATAGGCAGGAAGAAACGGAGATGGATCGGCTGGCTATACTCTGAGGAAACAAACCATCAAGTGACATCACTAGACAAGCCATTGCTCGAGTGGAACCCGGCCGAAAGCGAAGCGGCGGCGAGTTGGTCGTCAGTGCAAGGGTGACTTGGAGGAGGTCATGTGAAGAGGAGATGAAGGAGTGTGGGCAGACATGGAGCCAGGTTAAGACTCTAGCAGAGAACCGAACTCAATGGAGACGCACAGTTGAAGCCCTATATTCCTCTAGGAATTAAAGGATTCAATAATAATAATAAGGTTCTGGGCGGTTCATTTAATCCTGTTATCTGAGGTCTTTTTCAGTTGATGCCCTTTGACATATGACGGATTCGATGCTAGCTTCTCAATCGGGCTCCACTCTAGGGCCTGGCGCCGGTGATGTTATTCACCGGTCTCCGTAGTGTCCCACAGGTCTATCTCCACTTTCTTTGGAATATCTGTTCCGCGGTAGGTATTTAGTTGGGCCTATATTAACAAACACGAATCAACAGGGAAAGTTTGAAAGGAGTGGCTGCCTCCCCTTATTCGGTCAGTATCGTTGTAACTACAGGTGGCGACATGGATAGTGACGTCAAAATCAAGATCCTGAAAGCAGGACATACTTTTATTATTCTCCAGTCATCGTGGAATTCTAAAAATGAAACAGCCAAGAACCTTTTGTCCAAAAACTAGGCCAAAGAAAATGGAAGCAGACACATTGAGGAGACGGCTAAGTCAAGTCAGACGCCAGCTAGGTCATCGCTCCAGTAGGACCTAAATGGGAAATGACGTGTTGCCGGGTGGTGGGGGGGGTGGATTAAAGATAATTGAACAGATCACGGTGAAGTGTAGACGTCCTCTCTTCCTCTCGGAACCCGAAGGAATAATAATGATTACTTTACATTGTTATAAACATACACAAATCAATATAATCAATAATATTTTAGAAAAAAAACTAATCAGCTCACATCTTCAGGATTAGATGATATTAAAGGTTCAGTTTGATCCACAGATTGACTGATCAATAGATTTGCTTGATTTGGCAATTCATATAAAGTTTCATTATTGAACTGACTGGTGGGTAGCCATAGGATTAAATAGTTTCTAACAGATTCCGATGGGCTACTGCTTGGCTTCAGTGCAATTCGTGCATGTGTAGCACCTAATTCCATCAGTTGAAATTCACCTGGAGGATTAGGTAGATCTGTGGAATCCGGCGGGGAGGGGAATAAAAATAAGAAGAAGATGAAGAAGAGACATGCAGATCAATATTAGCGCAACAATGGAAATTATACTCTCGTGTGAACTACTAAAAAAAGCTTTGTGAGTAGTATATTTTGTGTGATCCCTCTAACAAGTGAGATTAAATTAATCTAAATTCCTACAAATCCCATGCATCAGTTTGCTAATAAACAATCCCGCTACCAAAGATTGCCATTTTCTGATGTTATCATACTTTATGCTTTGTTCAACGCTGAGCATAACTTCTGTAATCTCAAAACATCGTCGAGGCTTCTTAAGTTGGAGTCGACATGTCAAGGGAAATTGAGTTTTGGAGCTTAAAACACAACGGTTTTCGGCTGGGTTAGAGTTCCAGCTGGAACAGAATGTCTCACTGAGTAGGATGCACGCACTTTCGGATGACGAGTCCTGAATGGGACGAAACACATGTCATCTAGATTCCACTGCTAGTCACCATTAATCAACTAAACATTCTGAGAAACACCTTTAGATGGCTAACAGTGTAATGTTGGAATGGTACTAGATTGTGAGTCTTTCTAACTTGACTAGAATACGCTTCCAGATCAAGACACTTTGACCAACTGATCACTTGCAAAAATAGACGAAAAAAGTCGGACTGACATAAACCACGTTAGATTATATTTGCCAAACTCTCAGAAGTGTAAACTATAAATAAAACAAATCTGATTGGTCGAATGAAATCAAAATGTCTCAGAAGATTAAGCCACGTATAAACCAATCAAAAACTTTCCGGTAAGGTTATCATGTCAGTACATGTATAAATCACGACCTTACGGCTAACAAAGAAAGTTGTCTGTCCTAACACTCAGCTTAATTTTTGCAGTTTATTTGACAGTTTCAAAAGTGTAACGAACATCATATGTTCAGTTCTTGGAGCTCGCTTTGCGCGGAATTCTGTAAGTCAGTTTCTTCTCTAAGCTATGTGACTTCCATTTGTGAAATCTGGAGATCAAAACCTCATACCTGTTAGTTCTTATCAGTAAGGCGTAACAGTAAGCTTGGAGGAACTTATATTCCCTCGGAGTTTGTATCTTCCATTATCTAGTCAGTGTTGCTGTTAGAGGTTTTATCATTGAGGTACTTGACCAAGCTCACCTTGTAACCTGAAGGTCTTAGGTTCTAACCTTGGTGGGTGGAGTCACGGTTGCATACTGTGAAGAGTCCCAGCCTAGGAACAAAAGCGCCTCTGTACAATACTGCCTCTAAGTATAATGTTAATCAGTGATCAAACTTCAGAATTTTTGTAAATTTATGTGTAAAAACAAAAACTAATTGAAGCACTTAATAATTTTAATTATTATTATTATTATTGATGTCATTAATGCGCCATAACATGATACCTTGACAATTAACCAATCAAAATCAACCGGTCCAATTAACACCTGGTCATACTCTCGCACTTATAGTTCATCAAGTAGGCATTAATACAAACAGACACACAGACGTAAATACGCACACACATACACGAATAAACACACTCATGTATGCATGAATGAACGAAGTATTTACTTCTAAAGTATTGATTACATAATTTAAAAGTCTAAAGTGGATAGGATGCCACTTGCCATTAGTAAGCAACCACGCACGCACGCACGCACACATACACACACTCAATTAAAACACAAATTAAGCGAACAGATAACGAATATTTCTTAATTTATCCAGATATATATGAGTGTACATTTCACTGCTTTAAACTTTTCAATTAAACAAGGCATAAAAAACAATTCAATCACACGTGTAAATTAGAAATTGAAAAAAGCGGGAAAAATAGGCAGATAGAAAGATAGATAGATATTTCCGAATCAGGGAAAATTGAAACAAGAGGGTAAATTTTTCAAGAAATAAAAGCTCTCTGCATGTGATTTCCTAGTGAATTTTTTCCTATTATACTTTCATGTGTTTTAGATTTTGTCACGAACTAATATCAGATGAGCACGGAGTACTGGACAGTTGTTTCGTCCTATTTCGGAGCTCATCATCAGTGCATATCTGCCAACCGACTGGTGGGGATTGAACACGGAATCTTCTGGTTACGAGGCCAAGCTGATTTATTAGTTAATATTCAATCATAAGTTTCCAGGCCGTAGGTGTTACGAACTTCCTGGAATAATTTCAGTGCCGAGTCAGATTGATTCATTATAAATTATTTAAATTAATCCCAACGTGTTAAGAAAATCAAAACAAGATCTGTTTTCTGAACGTTTCGCTGTGTAAGCCATCACAGCTTCTTCAGCAGATTAATTCGGATTTTTATTAATCATCAAAATATATAGTCAAGAATTTTTTTACATAAATTGAAGTCAGTTTATTTGAAGGTCATTTGTCCAGAGTGAATGAACATAGACTATGCACGAAACGTCCACCTAGAAATGAAGTAGAACTAAAAAGTCTAGAAAAAAGACTGGCTATAGCAATGCATGCGATAGACAACGGACATAAGATTGATTTCGACACTGGTCATAATGTAGACAACTTGAAGTCATTCAAAATAATCAACAAGCAAAAGTAACCTAACTTGTTACGCTTTGCTGAAGCAATAGCTATCAGACGACTTAAACCAAATCTATGTACGCAGAAAGAGACAGTGGTGAATCTTGCACTGCCCTGGTGACAACAAAATATACAACTTGTATGAGTCACCTTTTTCTTGTTTAGAAAACTCTACTCTCTCATCTAAACATGACTCACCCTTTCTTGTTCTTTTCTCTTCCTTCTTTTCTATTGGCTATAAGATAAAGCATTTTCTTTAGTTACGTAATCTACCTTTTTGTTATGCTCTGTCTAGCTAAACCTTGTTTCTATACACACACATATATATATGCAACTCTGTTTTTGTTTCCAAGCCTAATTGCCTAATTATTCTATAAATATTTATAAACTGTCAAATATTGATCACAGTTCATTTGAATTATTCTATAAATAGTCAGTGTTTGTAACTCTTAATTAGTAAAATCATTCCGGACTAATGCTACTTTTTACTCCTTGTGATCGTGGGAAAGTATGTTCAAATCTTTAATGTAATGTAATTCATATTTTTTATCGTTCAGGTTGTAACCAGTTGAGAAGAATCCTCGAAATAATAAAAGATGAGCTCATATCATCCTGGTACAATTGTTGTTCTTGCTTTGTTCAAATGTCGAAATTCTTGGAAGAGGATTTCATTCACATAAAGAAATATTGACTTCTGAAGCCTTGCACATTTGAACCATATCGAATGCAGTGAATTGGGAAGAAAGGATAGACTTATCACCTACATGACAAACTCTTATGAAGCAAGAAAAATGAAAAAACAATAAACACTCTATGAGCCTCCATGACCTTTTTAAAACATGTAGTATCTTGTTTATCACATATGAATTCACGTATTTTCCACATGATAAATAACATACATACACACACACTCATACAAAACTGATCTGTACAAATCAACTATAGGAGAGTGAACACAACAACAATTTGACATTAGTCATTACAAATATATGTGATGGCTGCTTACATATTTTCTATTGGTAAAAGTGTCCATGGTCAAATGACCTTCAAATAAACTGACTTCAATTTATGTAAGAAAATTTTGACGATATATTTTGATGATTAATAAAAATCCGAATTAATCTGCTGAACAAGCTGTGGCTTACACAGTGAAACGTTCAGAAAACAGATCTTGTTTTGATTTTCTTAACACACTGGGATTAATTTAAATAATTTATAATTAATATTCAATCTTTTAGAATTAAAATACTCCATCCATTCACGCCTGCCTGTGTATGTGCATAGGTGTGTTTGTGTGTATGTTGACGCTTACACGATGAATAAGTGTGTATTGATTTTTTAAATTAATATTTGAATTGTGTATGTGCAAGTCTGACCAGGTATTAATTGGACCGGTTGATTTTGATTGGTTAATTGTCACGATATCATGTTATAGCGCATTAGTGACATCAATTAAAATAACAATAGTAAATATAATTATAATAATTAAGTGCTTCAATTAAGTTTGTTATTACATATAAAATTAAAAGAATTTTCAATTATTAGTTAGTTAAGGCACTCCGGCATAACTCAACCCTTCCTCCTGTTACAGTTTGTCAACTCGTGCGCATCTTACCTATTCTTCTTTACTGTTCACCCTCATTCTTTCCTGGATTGCTTAAGGAAGTCTGTGTCATACTTCGTAGGACTCTGAAGACTGTCAGCAGGGTGGGTGGTGGTGTCTCATTGGGCCATATCGTTGACATCGTCATTCATAGGCACTTGATTTCATGCAACAAATTTGCTAAAGAGATTTTGTCAGACTGTGAGCATCCATTTTACCCGCAGCTCCGACCTTATGTCTCCTCAGGTAAAACAAGAAGTATTGGTTTTGTAGGGATTTTGTTTGATTGCGTGGAGGATTTCATCATGAGCTGACATCAGTTAGAGAAACACTGGAAAACCTGGGAGTATTGGACAGCTGTTTCGGCCTAGTTTGGGACACATCATCGGTACGCACCCACCGGGATTGGAACCCAGGACCTTCTGGTTACAAGGCGAGCTCGTAGACCATTGAGCCACTGGGACCCTATCCAATGGCCAGTCAGTTCATGAATTCTAATTTCTACCAATTCACGCACAACATAGCGCGACCATTTCGCAATGTCTTCTTTGATGAGTTACTGCCTCATCTTCAACCTGCTGTACCCTACTGGTCACGGCTTCCCACTAGAACCCCAGGTTAACTGCCTGAATAGGGCCAGTCAAGAAGTCTTTTCAGAAGACTTTATGCACGCACGTTTAAGTAAAAAATTCCACTATACCATATTTGGCACGTACTCTATGTGATGAAAATAGTGTTAGGCACTAACTAACTAACTAGCCTTCTTTGCACTATTAAATAAACCATTTCCTCCACCCTTACAACATCAACCTTTACAATTATTATTATTCCTATATTTATAATCCTCTCAATTTTGTGTTTTTATTTGTTTATTTTTTCATAAGTGTGAACATCATTTAAGCTGTGTTATAACTGTTATTTTTTTATTTCCTCTCACCATACTATATCAACAGAACATTAGATTCAATAATCTATAACATACTGAAATTTCCAAACTGTATTAACAATACTGTCTGAAACAAACTCACTGTTATTATTACTATTATTATTATATTTACTATTCTCAGTTTGTACTTTGAATATTTTTGACTTTACACCGTAAATGTGGACAAATTCTTGTGCTTAATTTTATTTATATTTTGAGTAAATCAGATGCAATATTGTGACAAATGCTAAGAATTCCATTCTGTATTACAAGTACTGTCCGTTTTAGAATAAAGTAGATTATTATTATTATTATTATTATTATTAACCCTTGCATCTCATCCATTGTTCTTTATTTTTTCCCCACCCCTTAGTCTTTCCTGGGCTACTCATAAGCGACTACGTAATATTGTTTTGGGTATTAAAGGTTGTTATTTGGGCCAGTGGTGTGCCACCTACTCAGCTCATTAATACTGCAGTCGATAGATGCCTGAACTCATGTGAGAAATGGTCCAAATCTATATTGTCTGACTCCTCTTAACACCCTCTCTATTCTCAACTCTTCCCGCCTTGCATCTCATCAGATTGGACTATTATTATTATTGTTATCATTATTACCATCAAGAGATTTTATTGATCACACGTTTAATCATGAATTGGTTTTTAAAACGATCAGGGAGTACTAGACAGAGAGACGTTTTATCCTTGTTCGGGACTCTTCAACTCGCATTACGCACCCATGAATTCACTCACTGTTGGGGCTCAAACATAGGATCTTCAGGTTAACAAAGAGAACTTGTTGACCACTACTCAGACACCAGAGGGGTGGGGGTAGGAACCTGATGGCCTGTTCACGATATATATAGCACAGCTGCCAGCCAATATCACCAGTGAGTGTTTGTCCTCACACCCCCCTTCCAACTTGGTGGGTTTCAGCTGGTCACAATGTTCAAACCAGAACTTCAGGCAAGTCCCTTGTGTATTGAGTGAGTCAGTTACTTGTGTGTTGGATAATTTGCAGAGATTCGCTTGGCTTCAGTTGTGTTCATGAACTGATAACCAGTTTGACTCCAACGTATATTACATTTTTTGGACGTTGTCATATTACGCGATTGCCCAAACCTCCATGTCACACTCACAATGACGACTCACTCGTCGCTTCCCACTTGGATTCCATTCGAGCGATGACCTGCATTGCGCGCGATATCATTCGGCGGTCTCCTCGATGTATGCCCGATCAATCCATCTCCATTTTCTCCTGCATACTTGTTGAGCAATCGGCTCTCGCATGTTGGTTTGTTCCCACTTAGAGTTTCTTCTTACTAATTCTTTCTGGCTATTTGATCTTCAGCTTGAAGCCAGCGAAGGTAGCTGTTGATGAAAGTCTACAACAGGCTGTTGGAAATCCTTTTCTTTACACGCTGGCCGAGTTTCTGATCCGTGTAGAATGACCAGCTTCACATTAGTGTTGGAAATGCGAATCCTGTTCCGTAGGCTAAGTGCAGAAGATTTTCAAACTGGTTTCAGGTTGATGAAGGCTTGCGTGTCTTGCCTTTTCGATTCTGTCTGGCTGACTTTAACATCTTTATCGGTTCCGGCTGTAGTTGAAAGGATGCTTCCTAGATAAGTGACGCAATCAATAACCCTAACTAATTTTATTCTTGTTTGACACATCTACTGTACACGCACACACTCAGTGAGAGAGAAAAATGTTCACATAGAATTGCGATTGTATTGTTAAGTGAATGATTTCGCCGCTAAAAAGGGACTCTTCGCTATCAGACACGTTACCACAGAGCGTTTGGGTGACTGACCTCTCATGAGGATTGTAATGGATATGCTGATTGGACTTTAGGTAGCAAACCACTTATGTCATGTAATTAGTCTTTGGGTTGGTGCATAATAAACTGTATATTCCCTATTGTTCTGTACCAGTGTTTATTCTTTTTTCGTTTAAACAAAGCCTACCTTCGAAATTCATGATAAGATCGGCTAGAAACTTTAGGAACGCAAGAAGTATACAAAAAATTAGTTGGTTTGAGGATTTCATCATGAGCTGACATCAATTAGAGAATCATTGGAAAAACAGCCATAGGAAGCACTGCCATATAGCTGTTTCGTCCTATTTTGGGACTCTTCATCAGTACGCACCCACCCACATCCAGCGTTCGAACCCAGGACCTTCTGGTTACAAGCCACTTGGACCCAACCGATCCAATGCCCAGCCAGTCCATGAATTCTAACCTCTGCCAGCTCATGACATAGCGCGACCACTTCTCAATGTCTTCTTCGATGAGTTACTGCCTCATCTTCAACCTGCTGTACCCTAAAGATCACGGCTTCTCACCAATACTTGAAAAAAAACAATCTACTCACTTTTTACAATCACTTGTATATCATGATAAATTCTTCCCATTGTTGATTCCGCGACACAGGTGACATTCAACGACTCTGACAAATCTTTTAGTAGGAGTTTTGCTGTCCCTGGAGGTTGTTTACTCAACTGACCTTGTTGTAGTGGTAGATGTTTATCTTTGTACCATTGAACGGTGGGCACAGGTGCACCGACAGCAGTACAGGTGAGGGTGACACGACCACCAGGCGGTACAATCTGACGAGATGAAGGCAGCTGAGTGAAATGAGGACGGAATCTTTTGGCTAAGAGAAAGATAAAAGTAGCAAAATAGTTGGACGTTAATAAATATTTGAAAAGAAGTCATTTTAGACATTATTAAATATTCGCATGGCAAAATTCAGAACAATACATGTAAACATTGGCCAGTTTGTAGGGATCCGATTTGCTACAAGTTTCACCATGGATTGATAACAGCTAGAGAACCATTGTAACCCAGCAGAGAATACTCGACATCTATTCCCTCCTACTTCGAGGCTCTTCAGCAGTGCGCACCTAGCAACGTGGTTCGAACCCAGAACCCTTCAGTTACAAGATAAGTCCTCAGACCAATCAGCCACTGGGACTCAGTGCAATGGCCAACCCATGAATTCAAACTTCTGCCAATTCATGACTGGTGGGGTGCACAAGGTTCAATGTAAAGATGAATACTAGCCGACATTGACATTGCCTGGTGGTTGCGCTAAAATCAGAAATTCTCAGAAGCTGGAATTCATGGAGTGGCCATTAGATCGGGTACCAGTGGCTGACTGCTCTAGGAGCTTGTCTTCTGTCGTTACACTACTACTACTATTACTATTGTTTTGTGAATCCACAGCTTTGTTTAAATTTCCTCAGAGGATAAAATTTCTTAATACATATATATATTTACGACTGGACAGCTTGAAAACAAATTCGTTGAAAAGATTCCCTTATCTGAATATTGTATTCTTAATTTTACAATAAGAATAGGTATATCGGCCGTACTCAGCGTTTGCTATCCAAACGCGTCAACGAGCATTTACCTTCATGGTTTTATAAAAGAGAAAACCGATGCCCTGCAGCTCGATCCTTGAGCATTTGATCGATTCAGGACACCAAGTCAAACCAGAAATAAACTTCAAAGATATCTACAGAATACAAGGCAATCTTGCTAAAAGTGTACGGATCAAACTTCTCCACATCGCAGAAGCAATGGCAATTCATCTGCTAAATCCTGAACTCTGCATACAAAAGAAATCCGTTCATTCATTAAATCTACAATGGACGTAATCTTTCTTAATTTCAGTCTTACTAATTGTATTATTTTATCTTTTGCATTTTATTATTTCACTTCTGCATTTGTATTATTCTCTACCCCACCCTTTTGTAATCTCTACTCTCATTAACAATGTTGCCAACTCGACCCACGTCCAATTTCTAGTCAACTATATTACGTCATCCGTTTTTTTCCTTCATGTTCCCCAGTGGAACATAGGGCTTCAAGCTAGTGGCTTGAATTTTCTGTAGCAGTGCTTATTTTACAGGATGGGGTTGCTAGCCTCATGCCCAATCTTTCCTCTTTACCAGCTTATATTTCTGGCTTAGCCAGGTAAAGGAGTGCGTCGGCCGGGGATCGAACCCCGGACCATGTGCATGGTTTGCGAGCGTCCTAACCACTATGCCACCGACGCACACGTCATCCATTTAACTTACTTAATTCTCAACTGTATTATTCTCTACCCCCACCCTTATATAATTTTAACCACCACTCATTAACACTGTTGCCAACCTGACCTACTCTGAATTCTACTCGACTGTATTACCTCACCCAATTCACTCAATCAATTTTCTTTTCTTTTCTATCTAATTAACGTTTGTTTCCAAGCCAAATAATACTTATATTACGTAATTATCTAAACTTTATAAATCTAATGTACACACACAAACAAAATTGTGTATAAATGCGGTTGTACAGCTCAGTAAATGAATTCGCCGAAAAGAGTCTCTTCGCTGAACGCCTTCTTTTCTTTCATACGACTGAATGGGGATTTTCAAGTTATATAAGAATTAATGTTTCACAAATCACCATAACTCGATTATTTACGGGATTCTATCATGAGCTGACATCAGTTAGAGAACCATTGGGAAAACCGAAGAGTACTCTACGCTACTTTTCTCTCCTACTTTGGGACTTTTCAGCAGAATGAGTCAGCCGGAGATCAAATCCAGTATCTTCTGATTGCATGAGAAGCTCCTAGATCATTCAGCCTCTAGGACCCGATCCAATAACCTCACCATGAATTACAACTTCTGCTGGCGAAGTTAAACTTTAAGCAGCACTAACTAACCAATCAGCGGATGACCTTGAATGATCCAATGAGTTTCATCCTCATGAGTTGAAGGTTATATTCCGCTTGATTCAAGTCAAGTGCCTTCTGTAAATGCAGTGACGCTTGTAGTTTGGTGAGGATAAGGTTTTCCAGTATTACTTGGACGTGGGGTTGCTTAGGAAGGAAAGGATTTATTCATGTGGAAGTGTTATGAGTATAAAAAGCTTAAGCAGGACGATTGATGCATATGTCCATCACTGTGCTTCTTTATGGAGACGAGTTAGTATCAGGGAAGGTAATATTTCGTAGGAACATTTTTTGCCAGGTCTCATCTTTACTTTACTTTGTGTTAGCTTAATTCCACACAGTATTTTGGTACAAGTATGAAATTTTCAGTATGTGATATCGGTAGCCCAAATTTAGCAGGCCAACCATAGATATCAGGTGCGCGTCGGTAGGGATCGAACCTCGGACCATGTGCATGGTCGGCGAGCATCCTAACCACTGTGCCACCGACGCACTGTCACTAACCCAGATTTTGTATATTTGTAATTACTGGGTTTTAAACCATCCTGTGAAAGGTGCAGCTGCTGCAATTGAAAATAGCCTCGTATCAACATTTCAGAACTGCAGAGACATCGTGTCATGAAAAATGGAGAGAATTACTTCGTTATTAGGAGGAGAAGGTGTTGTCGTACACACGTGGACGAAACTGTGTTACTGAAGAAAAAATGCAACGGTGGTCGTGAGTGAAAAACAATGTTTGGGTGATCAGCTTATATGACAACTCCCTACAGAAAGGATTCGTTGAAGGAATAGCAGACAGTAGGTCAACTACCTTAGTACCTATTATCACCCGACTTCTGAAACAGGGATCTATAATACGCACCAATGAGTGGAGAGTTTATAACTCACTGTCATCCCTTGGATATATTCATCACAAAGTAAGGCATTTTAATTATCTTATGGATCCCATTACAGGAACACACAGCATTTCTATAGAAGACTTTTGGGGAAGATTAAAAAACAGGGTTAGGGCTATAAATGGATCTGAAAAGGATTTTATTTATAGTCATTTGGATGAATACATGTACAGAATGTTCTGTAACTTCTCCATTGATACTCTTATGCTAAACTGGGAGATGTTTCTATCATATGTCAGAGAAAGGTACCATAAGTAACAGTTTTATGCATTTAAAAAAATAATTATATGTTTTCTATAACCAAAAATGCCTCTTTCATGTAATTGGTTCGTTGAAGGTCATTCGCTGATTGGTAGTTGGTGGTTCTTAAAGTTTAACTTTGCCCTTCTGTACTGGACAGCTGTTTCGTTCTAGTTCGGGACTCTTCATCAGCACTCACCCACCATACGGGTTCGAACGCAGGACCTTCTGGTTAAAAGGCGAGCTGGCAGACCATTGAGCCACTAGGACCCCATCCAATGGCCAGCCCATGAATTCTAACTTCTGCCAATTCACCATATAGCGCGACCATTTCGTAGTGGGAAGCCGTGACCAGTAGGGTACAGCAGGTTGAATATAAGGTAGTAACTCATCGAAGAAGACATTGCGAAATGGTCACGCTATGTCGTGCGTGAATTGGTAGAAATTAGAATTCATGGACTGACTGGTCATTGGATAAGGTCCCAGTGGCTTAATGGCCTACGAGCTCCTTAGCCATGTAACCAGAAGCTCCTGGGTTTGAACTCCAGTGGGTATATACTACAGGTTGACTGAAGTGAGTAGTTCTGTGTTACCCATAGCTGGATATTACTCACACCGTCAGCCGGTAGTGATAGCTTGTCAGCCGATCAGATCGAAGAGATCTGAACGTTGAATATATATATATATATATATATATATATACATATATATATATATATATATTAGTTGGTAATTTGAAATTTAAAACTATGGAAAGCACCAAACCTCAATATGTTAAAGATTCCACAAATTCGCATACAAGAGCAAAATGGGCAGAAGGGGCATTTTATACAGAAAGTAATAACAAATTAATTAAAAAATGCATTCAGTTAGCAGAAGAGCAAGCATTTTTTTCAAAGCATATCCTAACACACTGAAGTTTCTGATTTATGTTCAGGGTACTGCACTACTTATTACGTAAAGCCCTATCAAACGTGTGGGAAGCCAATGAACAATGATGCTCTCTATCAGTTTATGTTGATACGGTGAATAAGTTTTTCACATATCATCCAACCATTTCCCGCAAACTGGAAGATATGCAAGTGATGAAAAGCAACAAGTTGACAAAAGAAGCATCCAGAATGGATAGGACTTCAGTTGAACATAGAGAATACAAAGGTAGGTGATGAAGATTCCTGGCCAATAGCAGAAGCCAAAGCAAAAACAACAGACAATAATCAGACAGCATAAATAGGAGAAGTCTGAAAGAAGTAACCTCCTACACCTACCTACCGACCGGCCTGGGAAGCATCGATGCAACTACAGGTGGACAGAACTGATGAGGATATCAAAACGAGGATCGGGAAAGCAAGGCAAGCTTTCATTACTCTCAAGTCTGTGTGGAGATGAACAGCACTCAGCATGAAAAATATGATCCGGACTTTCAACTGCAATGTGAAGTCAGTGCTAATTAGTATACGGATCAGAGACTTTGCACCTCGCCGCTTCACAAAGGCCACTTCGAACAAACTACACACCATCATCAACAGCTGTCTTCGCTCAATACTACTCAAGATCAAATTGTCGGCCAGAAAAGATCAGCAGCAGGGATCTGTGGTAATGAACGAGCCAACCCAACCAATTGTGCAACAGATATGCAGGAAGAAATGGAGATGGATTGGTCATACTCTGAGAAAACAAACCATCAAGTGAGTGACATCACACGCCAGGCCATTGCTCGAGTGGAACCCGATCGAATGTGAAGCGGCGAGTTGGTCGTCAGTGTGAGGGTGACATGGAGGAGGAGGTCGT